TCGAACAAGTCGGATATTATCGACAGAGGATATTTGTTGCGTACCGTCACCTTGTTTAAGGCTTTATAGTCTATGCACAGACGCAACATCCCATCCTTCTTCTTCTGGAACAGTACGGGGGCCCCATAAGGCGCCTTTGCCGGGAGAATGAATCCCGCCTTCAGCAACTCGTCCAGTTGTTTCCTCAATTCGGCTAGCTCGGGCGGAGCCATCCGGTATGCGTTCTTCGCTGGCGGTTTAACCCCAGGGAGGAGTTTGATTTCATGGTCAATGCCTCGACGAGGTGGTAGTGTTTGGGGTAGGCTCTCTGGCATTATGTCGGTATAGCTGTTTAGTACTTCCTTGATTTCCTCTGGGACAGTCTCTTCGGTGGTTGCTTCTTCTATCAGTGGTATGGCCATGAATGTAGGTTCCTCTCGTGCGAGTCCCCTTTTCAGCTGTATGGCCAAGATCATTCGAAGATTACCTGGTTGCTTGATGCTTGCAGGTATTACTGTGGGGTTGCGGTCGGTGATCACCAAGCATTTTGCCAATGGCATTGGGATGACCTTGTGTTCTAGGAGGAACTCCATCCCGAGTACCACATCGAAGTCGTCCATGCAAACCACGACAAGGTCTAGCTCTCCAGTCCAATCCCCTATTTTGAAGGGGACTCCTTTGGAGACTCCCACAATAGGCAAGGCCTCGGAGTTGACAGCTTTCATTTTCCCCGGGTCCTTTCCTATGGTGAGTCCCAATCTTCTGGCTTCTTGATCGGCAATGAAGTTGTGGGTTGCTCCAGAGTTTATCAGAGTGCTCTTGCTCGGTCGAGAGTTTATTGTAGCATCTACGAACATGAGCCCTTTCTCTATTATCTCCTTCGGTTCGACTTTCCGTTGGAGGGCTAACAAGAATTTGAGTGCGCCCATTCGGGGGTTGTCGTGATTCTTCCTTCTTGTCTAGCAAAGTCTCGACCCTTGCCTCATTGCTCTCTTGAATGGACACTTGAAGTGCAGTGAGAGAGGCCCGATGAGGACAGTAGGATACCTTGTGGGGGCCTTTACACAGAATGCATTGCAAAGGCGTCGTCGGGTGGTTCTTTTGATGGTAAGGCCCTCGAGATGTCCCCGCTTGATTGTTCTGAGGAGGTCTATCCGTCCATCCGTTCGGTCTGTTGGGGCTTCCATTTTGATGGCCTGGGGGCCTGTATGTTTTGCCCCCATTGTTTGGGGCTGGTGTCGCTCTTCTTTGGGATCCTGCTTCGTTCCCACAATCTACGAATCTCTCGGCGCAGGCCATTGCAGCAGCTAGGGTTTGGACCCTGTTCTCATGTATCTTTGTTCTGGCCTATGGTTGTAGCCCATTTATAAAGAAGAACACCTTGTCCTTCTCGTTGTGCCCCTGATATCCAGCATCAGGGTTGAAAATTGCCTGACATAGTCCCGTATGTTTCCCTGATATCCAGCATCAGGGTTGAGAATTGCCTGACATAGTCCCGTATGTTTCCAGTGTGTTTCAGGGCTACTATTTTCTCCATTGCTATATGTCCTGCGTTTTCGGGGAGGAATTATTCCCTCAACTCTCTCTTGAGGTCCTCCCATGAATCGATGGTGCACAACCCATCCTCGATGTCTTGCACATTCGTACGCCACCACAGTTTGGCGTCGTCTATGAGATACATCGTGGCTACGGTCACCTTCTTGTCATCGGTACAAGCCGTCGTGGCTTTGAAGTACTGTTCGACATCAAAGATGAAGTTCTCCAACTCTTTGGCGTCCCGATTCCCTTTGAAGGCTCTAGGGTCTGGGAACCTTAGTTTGTTGGATCCTGCATTAGTTTGCCCAGCTGTGACGCCCTCCACAGCTTTCATGGTCACTTCAATTCGAGTGCTCATGGCGGCCATCCTTTCTTGGAGGTCGTCGATTGTTGTTCTGAATTCATCAGCTAATCCATTGAACAAACTCATCATTGTATTTTGTAGTACGTCGAACTCTTAGCCCCAGCTTCTACTTACTTTCTTCCTAAACTAGAGGCTTGCTTAGATTAAACAGCTTTCTATCTATTTCAAATCCTCAGTCTGTTTTCAAGTCATCAGGCCGGCCAGGAGGAAGGGGTCTTTGCCAAGGCAGGAAGACAAATAGAAGTACCTCACCTCAAAGTCAAGCTAAGCATAATTAGACCGCGGAGTACACTCCTGAGGAGCTCAAGGCATAACTATGTTTTGGACTGGATCGCCCTCTGTTTTCAACGGCCAATCAAAGACAGCTTTTCCTCTATGGTAGGCCTAGCACGCAGAAGACGCTTCTTGTGAGCTTTCAATCTGACCCTTATTCATTTATTCTTTCAAAACCCAAGTCAAGAAGAATGAGAGAGACTTACTTCCCCTCGTCGTAAACTATCTGCTGCTCTCCTGCACCTATTTACTGATCTTGCTGTATCCTTTCTTTCATTCTTTGACTCTTTTCTGTCTGTAATAAAAGAAGAAGAAACCTGAGCAGTAAGGAAAGACTGAACCGAAACTCTTCGCTACTGAGCCTGAACCGAAACCCTTCCTCTTTTCTGCTATTCCCTTTTCCCTTAGTGAACTCGGTAAACTCATTCAACGCCACGCCCCTCTTTGTGCGCGACAGAGCTATCCGGACTACCAGACGGTTTTGGGCTGCTCGTAGGAGCAACTCTTTCTTCGAGCGAGGTCACTCGAAACATCAGTTCTGCGATTGGCAACCCATCCAGGCGGTTGCCCATTGCGTCGACTTCTATGACTTTCTCACTCAGTTCGGTCACTCGCTTTTCCAGGAACCGTAGCGTGTCAGAGACTTCTTTGAGGAACAACATTTCCTCCTCTATTAGCGTAAGCCGATCGGCTTGTGCTTTGGGTGTCGACTTTGACGTCGACATGATCTCAGTCTTTATGATGTTACGGAGCTAACAAAGCTCTGATACCACTTGACACAATCGCGCTTTCGAAGGCAGCGGACTAGCGATTGTGCGGCACTCACTTTCCAGCGACAAGTGAGCTTAAGCCAATTTGTTCTTGCGTCGCCTACGGCCAAACGACGTACGATCGAGCCTCTAGCCTCGGTTTTAAAAGAAGGTTTTAGAAAATGAGGAGAGAGAGATTTTAGAAAGAGACGTTATATAAGCAAGCAAGAGAAAGATAACAACGGCTTAGCATATATAACCTTGGGTAGGGAGAAGTTGACAACTAGTCATATCCCCCTATGGTACATTCCGAGCCATTTTAAGTCTGGCAGGCCTAGACATGATATTTTTTAGGCGTCATACGCCTTAGAATTACGAAGGAAAAATACTAGAATGAAAAGTCATGACAAGGGTTTGGCTTGTCATGGGCATGCGGCCATGGGCGACATGCCCTGGACGAGCATGACCGTGACACTAGGCCCCCAATGAAGGATGGATTGTGAGATCTCACACCAGTTGAAGAGGGGAACAAAGCATTTCTTGTAAGGGTGTGGAAACTTCTCCCTAACATACGCATTTTAGAACTCTACGATACGTAACAGGCCAAAGCGGACAATATATGCTAGCGGTGGGCTTAGGCTGTTACAAATAGTATCAAAGCTAGACACCAGGCGGTGTGCCAACGAGGACACTAGGCTCCCAAGGGGGTGAATTGTGAGATCTCATATCGGTTGGAGAGAGGAACAAAACATTCCTTATAAGGATGTGGAAAACTGTCCCTAACAGACGCGTTTTAAAATTGTGAAACTGACGGCGTTACGTAACGGGCCAAAGCGGACAATATTTGCAAGCGATTATTTTTCGTTTGTTTATTTGGTTTGATGAAATATAATCTAAAAACGCAACGACTACGGTAGCGAAAACTTACGTATTTAGATTATAGTTACTTCCCAAAGGACTAACTAAGAGTGGAAACTGAATTCGGGGCAGCCAGTAAGGAAGGGTAAATCAAGGAGTAGCATAGCTAAGAAAACGACGAGAATTAAACACGAGATTTAACTACAAACGCAATAATTCTCGAAACAATTATCGGGGGCAGAGTTACTTACAGTGCAAATTCGCAAGTATTCGCATTAGAGTTAACAGTAAATAGCTACTAGTCTGCTCATCAGGTGGGGAGTTTCCATTAACAACATTATCAGGATTGTTCTTTCTTCTACGCTTATTATGGCCAGCCAAACGCCTTCGACAACTCCGTTTTCCTTCATCGAACTCCTGAAGAACATGGAACCTGCCACCAGATACCACAGAACAACCTTACAGCAGACACTTTAGAGAGTCAATGCTAAGAAACTGCAAGCATAAGGAATAAAAGAAAGCTCACCTGCTACATTGTTGACAGAATCGCTGCATAACGTTAGCAACGAGCGCATTACTCGCCTTCGAATGCATTTCGCAGACTTTATGTCTTCTGTGATAATCTCTAGCATTGCTAAGATCAGCTCCACAGTCCTCTACCTGGCAAACCGCACGACTCGAGTTTCCTCCGGTCAGTTTAGTCTTCTTGCCACTACTTCCTTCCCAATTCCCTGCTTCTTTCTCAACAATTTGACAACCATTTCCACCAACCTTCAAACTCAAACTACGAGCTTCATCATTAAGATTCTCACCTTCCATAACATTATCCCTCCTTCTCTTCTCCACTTCCCTTTTCCCTTTCTCGATCCCCGTATTAGCTTCATCAGAACACGACGACGAACTGTTCGACGAGCCACCGGTCAAAGGAATCCCAGAGACAATTGGAAAAACTTGGCTACCTAAATGATCAGACTCCACCAAATTTAAAGGCCTAGCAATAAAAAGATCTCCATCCCATTTCCAATCATTCAAATCCCATTCAAGGCTCTTCTTCCCAACAGCAGCCCTCAAATCCATAGACCCCATACCATACAATTGACAAGCTTCACCTCCATAACCAGTCTCCATTTCTCAAAAGGAACAAGAGAATGATTCAGCACAACACGCTAACCAAATCCCAGCAACAGATCAAAGCTCAAAAACCCCTAAAACCAAAACAATTAAACTCCTAACATGCTCTAATCTGCTTCACTCCAGCCCCAAAACTCCAGAAACAGAGAACCAAGGCATCCACAATTCCAATTAAGAGAAACCCACAAAGCCATATCAAGAATTTGCATCAAATCATCAAAAACCAATGAGGTGAAGTGATTGAATAGCCCAAAAAACAGAAACCCATGTGAAGAACACTGAGGTATGGAGACCCAGAAAGCGAGAAATCAGAATGAAAGCAAGGTAAGTGAATACCGAGTGGAGTCAACAGAGATCGGCGGCCGGAAATCCGTCGGAGATATAGGAGAAAAGGGGAAGATGAGAGGCGATGACGAAATGAATGAATGGAAAAGCGTGTGGGCTTTGATTCGTATTGGGTGTTGGAAGTGGGAGGAGTGATGGTAAAGGTTTGGTAATTCTAAGAGAGAAACCAAATTCATCACATGAACGATTAAACTATGAGCTAATTCATTCCATCAATCACATAATCTATCCCACATAAAATTAAAAATTAATTTTTTTTTTTTTTAAATTAAGTTTAAGTCTGTTACAAATTTTTTAAAATAATATTAATAATAATAATCTTACAAATTTTAGAATCAAAGTCAAATTTCAAATCTTTATACAAGAAAAAAACAAATTAATTGTAATTATTATTGATATTTATTTATTTTATAAAAGAAAAAAAAAATGAAGAGAGAGAAGCAAAATGGTGGGGCCCAGCACAGCAACACCGCGTGTCCCTCCCTCTCCCAATGCCTCAAAAGATGCCCTTTGCGTTGCTTGTACCGGAGGGAGGGTAGTTATCCTCTGCTTCGCGCTTTTCTTTATTTATTTACTTCTTTTTCTAAAACCTATATTTCCCTGTTTAATTTTTCAGATTAATATATAATTATTTTTTTTATTTAAACTTAATTAGAAAATAAATGCGCGTTACAATCAAATAAAATATTAAAATCGCTGTTTTTATTTATTTTATTTAAAATATATTGTTAAAACTATTTTTACAACAGAATACATACCCATAAGTTTACGAGAAAAAAATGAAATGGACGTTTGACACATTTTTCCTTAAATGAAAAATTTAAGTAAGAGTACGCCGAAAAAATTAATCAACTCAATAATACGAATTAGGCTGAGTTCGTGGATTCTACTAAAACTAAATTGGATTAAATCGAATTAACCTAATTTTTACACATATATACATATTTTTATTCAATTTTATAATTATTTTTTAATTGCTTTTGAAGAAGATTTTTCTAGAAAGATAAATTTAAAATACATATTTAAAAATAAATAAAACATTTTGTTTTTATTAAAAAGAAAATTATGAATAAATGATTTAACCAAACTATCCAAAAAAATATATATATATACAATACATTATTTAATAAAAGTTGTTAGTGTAAATTCAAGAAAAAAAAATCGAATGAGTAAAAATAAAAATAAATAAATAATAGGTGGACATCAACGGTCTGGACTTAGTAAAGGTTTTTTATTCGATTAATGATGACTCAATTATTTGGAAACTAAAATAAAAAATAAATGGACCGTTACTTTTCTAAACATCTTCAACAACCAATCAAATTATCTTATTTTATCATAAACATTTTTGCAATTTATTCAATGGGAAAATTATAAAGCTTTAGATTTTCATTTTTATTATATTTTTAAATATATACTTTATTTTTAGTCTTGAAACATTGGAAATTTCTATTATTTTATTTGAGTAAATTTTATTTTTTTTTTGTTTAACTTAAATATTGTATATTATTTAATTATTATTATTATCATATCTTAACATAGAGACTGAGCCAGTTGAATACTACTCGATACATAAAATACAACTCATTAACAATATCTATATATCGTGAGTGACATGCACCCACATGTTCACATATGTAAATAAAAACAATGTTTTAATGTCAATATTTTTTTATTAAGTTGATCTTATTCCAATTGAATTGAAATTTTTTATTACATTAAAAATAAATTTAAAAATGTTAAAAAAAATAAATATTAGAGTTAACATTTTTTTATAAGACTGTGAAAACATCTTTCTAACAAATTCGTTTTAAAATCGTAATGGGTCAAAACAAAAAATATACTTAAATTTATATATATATATATATATATATATATATATTTATTTTACTACGAAATTAAAATTAAAGGTAGAGTTAAATAGAGCATTTAACTAATAATAATAAATAATAATCATTATCATTTAGAGAGAAAAAAAAAAAAAAGGGAAAATATGTCGGAATTCATAGCTGGGTTGACGTGGAGTGTTTTTACTGTCGGATTTACCGTTGGTGGGCGGCAGCCGATTTAATTCGGGCAGCCCCACTTGCCCCACTTGCCCCACTTACCCAAAATCAATAATTGAATAAATAAATTGTTTTTATTTTATTTTATTTTATTTGTTTCGGATAAAAAATAATATGGAAATTAAAATTAATTTTATTTATTTTTACTTAAGATTTAGCCAAGCCAAAAAAATAATAATAATAAATAAATAAATAAAAATTTGAGTGACTTTAACTAGTTTATTTTTCAAGTAAAAGTAATAGCATATTAAACAGTTAACCGTGTTTTATACGAAGGTCACGAGCGAGTCATGATGGAGTTTTGTTTTTCTATGCTCGTCTTCTTTTAAACATTTAATTGTACTATCGTTAGACTATTTTCTCATTCAATAAATCCATTAATGAACGACTTTCTTGTTCAATAACGTTATCATTGCACAAAAAACGAACATTAACATTATTTTCGAGTACTTCACAGATGATCAAACTCACATAATTTAAACGTACTCTATAACTCTTTTACCGTCATCTTAAATTATATACGACAATCGTTAGTTACAAAGTCAGTTTAGAGTTCACATTAAATCGAGTGTCATCATTACTATACATAACAATGACAATTGTTAATTGATATTTTCACTTTTGGTCCCTAAATTTTCAAAATATACCGAATATTAATTAATTTTTAAAAGTATATAATATATATTAAAATATAAAATTATTAAAATGGTTCCCTTGATCTCCCATGTGGGTAATCAATTTTAAATCTGTACCATTAAAACATATTATAACTTTCAAATTAAATTTCCTTTAATTCGTTGCTTATTAATATTAATTTAATTTAATTTTTTTTAATTTTTTTTCATCTTCAAAAGTACCAAATTAATTAGTGGGCATGTGACACTGTATGGCGATTTATTCGAGCGTTTTTTTAATGTTTGAAATGGAAAAAAAAAATCTTCATTTCGTAATTGGTCGAGAATACATGTCAATTATCATTAATTATATTCATTCGGGTCATGTTAGATCATGTTCTTGTTTTGTATTACGTTCGTATATTTTAATCATTGTACTTTTTAATGTCTATATTTTGTCTTCGTATTTTTAATAATAAATAAAATTATAGTAAAAACTAATAAAGATATATTTTTTATTTTTAAGATTTATTAAAGATATAAAAATTAAGTTTAGATTAAAAAGTACTTAAATTAAAGATTTAAAATAAAATTGTGGAGAATTTACACAGTGAAAATTTTAATATTTATATATTTTTCGTAAAAAAAAAATTATTATATTGCTTTGAAAATTCTTCAACGAAATAGAAAGTCATTTTTGTGTTTGCTACCTATGGATACTAAGCTCACTTGTTAGAAAGAACGACGTCGTTCAGCAAATATATGGCAATTAATAAATTTTTAGTCAAAAAAAAAAAATTAAATGACTTTTTTTTTAAAATGTTAAACTTTTATAAATTTTATTGATTCGAATAAGTCTAGACACTAAATAAAAAATTAAAATTTAAATATCGAGAGCTAAAATTGTGATTTAATTTTAAAAAATCACAAAAAAAAAATGCTATTTATTTAATAAAAAAAATATTTACTACATCAATAAAGTGTACCTTTCTTTTCAGTAAGAACTAAGACCACATTCAACTAAGAGTGATTCCGATGATATGATAACTAAGAAAGACTTAGAAATGAAAGTTACTGTCTATAACAATAAGATATACCTTTCTTTTTCGGAAGCTCGATCAATGGAAATTCATGGTTATGCGTGCTTTATTTAAATCAATTATATCGTCTTATTTGTGAAAGGTACCTAAAGTCATTTTTTCGTGTGAAGAAACCAATTACACGATAGCTTTGAAAACGACTCTTGAAAAGGTATAAAAAGATTATAAATTTTATCTTTGAGGCTTCGTTGATACGCTTTTCTTGCACATGTCTATTACTTACAAACTTTATGATGAGTAGGCTATAATTTATGGCTTCATGGTACCATACAAGTTGTGGCGTCTTTAGTGGAGCTCGAGACAAAAAAGAGGAGAGCTTCTCAAGGCTTCTAGAACAACAAGATGCTCGACTCTGTAACACTCGAGCCATTCTACCCACGAGAGTAGCGTTGAGGCACTATAGAAGAGCATCTCAACGTTACATAAGAAAGCCAAGGTGTACCTCAACGCTATGGAACACGTGCATTATTTAATTTTTTGTTTGTAGCATCGAGACACTACATCGAGTGTCTCGATGCTGCCTAAATTTTTATAATTTTTTTCGGCAATGGTACAACGTCGAGATACTAGTTCTAGCATTTCGATTAAGACGTGTTTTTTTGAAATATTTAAAACTCATTAGATTAAAAAAAAAAATATATATATATATATATATATATTTTCAGGCTGTGCTCGTTTATGGGCTTGGATCAACACAGTGGTAGTCAGCCCATCAAATTACCATTCTTTTATTGTTATTATTATTATTATTTTGTTTTTTAGAAAATAAATTAATAATGTTTTTTTAAATTGATTTATTTTATTTTCCAAAAGATGATTAAATATCCATATTTTATTTTAAATAATTAGCTGAAAATAAAAAATTATTAAATTCTTTAATCTTATAAATTCGTAATTTGAGGGGAATAAAGTAATTTAACCTAAAAAAAAAATACTTCCATTCCAATAAGATTAGCTTGGTATAGACCGAGTCAACATCCTCGGCAGCTGAAATTTCATGAACTCAACCAATCATTTCTTGACACGTGGTAAATGTTTTTTTTTTAATTTCCACCTTGGACCATAACGACGCGCTTGAAGACCAGGCGTGAAAGTCAAATTCGACAACCTCAAAATGAATAAACAAATTAATTAAACAATTTCGTCCTTTCAAATTAATAATTTTTTTAATTCTTAAAATAACATAAATATAATTAATTATTTATTTATCGATATAATATTGAAAAGTCTTCTTGTATTATTTATTTAAAGACAAGAAAGAAAATTCATAAAGTCTTTGTCCCTTTTTGAAAACAAATAAACAATTGCTGTTTCTTGGGATATTTTCAACTTCAACCGTCAAACAATCAAACCGCCAATATATAAAAATAAATTAAAATTAATTAATTTATCTTAAAGCCTTCAGAGTATTTTTTTTATAGGAGGCTCGAGATGTATGGAGAATTTGCTATTGATAAATCTCGTTCAGTGTCCTCCTCTTTCACTCGTCGTCTTCCGACCGGTGAAAATATACAATGACAACTTTTGGGCACTCGTGCCCAATCGTGAAACTGCCTGTTGAACGTCCTATGGTGTGTTGCTCTGACCCGAGCTATGCAACAATTGCTTTAAAATATTATTTTAAATAAAAATAATAAGTTAAATTTTTAAATATTTGTAAAAATTATTGACAGGTGAAAGTTTAGATTCATGCACTATAAAATATATATATATAAAATCTATGGAATTTATTAATTACTTTTGGATTGACCAAGACTTTTAATTAATTTTTTTTTTTTAAAAAAATTATATATATATATATATAAGAGGGAAAAAAGGGAGGCAATAAAGTCCCTTTGAGGAGGGAAGAAAAAGCTAATATAGAGATAAAGTTTACAGAATAAAATACGCAGCGCAATCTTCGCCGGCTCCGGAGCTCGGATCACGTAGTACCAGAACGACGACAAACAGATACTCTTCTTGACATTTTGTTCTCACTCCGATCGAAGCTTTCAACTCTTGAAGTTTGTCGGATTACTCTGTTTTTCTGGTATAGATGGATCCTTTTACTGCTATCAAGCTCTTGCTAGTTTTGATTCTAGTGGTTTCGATTTTAGTTTGTTGTGTTCTTATGCTCTTGGTGAATGGTTAGGTTTTGTGGAAATTGGAGGCGATGATGTTAATTTTGATGAATTTGAGTCGATTGACTTGTTGCTTCTTGGCTTATTATTATTATTGTTATTTTGTTTTTTTGTTGGTTTATTGGCTGTGCTACTTGTTTGATCTGGAAATTAGACGGTTGAACTGGAATGAGTTGATGCGTAGCGGCAGTAGCGTGTGCTGCGATTCTTTGAGTTGGAAACGATGAAATGATTCTGCTGCTTTTTGTTGTTTGTGGCGTTTGGAGGATTTGATACATTTTAAGATTTTGAACTTTTGGTGTGATTACTTTTCGGTGGAGTTAATTTTTTTTTGAAAATTGATGTTGAGACTTTTGGTTCTTAAATTTGGTTTCAAGTATATGTAATTTTATCAATTTCATAGAGATGCTTTCTCCTTTTAAAGATGACTTAATGAGGACTTTGGTCAGTTTAGGGAAAAGATGAGCTGCTTTCGCTGCTGTGAGGAAGATGAAATTCAGAAAGCAGCTGACAATGGAGGCATGTATGCAGCAAAAAACACTTCAGGTAATCTGTTAGCACCACGGGAAGATTTGGAAACTTATCTAGTAACAATTAAAAGGATTTTTTTCAATGTCATTTCTGTAGATTGCAAAAAACGTATTTTCCCATGATTTTGCTCTCGAAATAATGTAGTTCATTAGTTCGTAATTTTTATATTGAATATTGTGTTACAGGAAACAATGGAGGTTATCATAAACCCGAAGCTGCACCAGCAGTCACTCAAGCTGTCAAAATGCAACCAATATTAGTGCCTAGCATACCCCTCAATGAACTATCGGAAGTAACAGACAACTTTGGAAATGATGCTTTAATTGGAGAGGGTTCATATGGAAGAGTATACTATGGGTTGCTTAAAAGCGGGCAGCCTGCTGCGATCAAGAAGTTAGATGCAAGCAAACAGCCTGATGACGAGTTTCTAGCCCAGGTTCATATACAGAGCAAAAAAAAAAAAACCCCACTTTTCATCATTTATACTTATCAAGTCTAAAATATGATAAATGTTTAGGTCTCCATGGTCTCAAGGTTGAAGAACGAAAATTTTGTTCAATTGCTTGGTTATTGCATTGATGGGAGTTCCCGCATACTAGCATACGAGTATGCTTCTAATGGATCACTTCATGATATCCTTCATGGTACGTATAATCATGATTCGTGTCCCAACTTTACTGGTCAAAAACTTTTAAAAACTTGATATGTTTTTTAAGTTTACATTTATTTTTCTGTACCTATGTGTCATAAACATCTACTACCAGGTATCATTCACTGCTTTTCAAGTTATTAATCTTATGTATTGTCATGCACTTTTTACATAGGAAGAAAAGGTGTGAAAGGAGCCCAGCCTGGTCCCGTTCTATCATGGGCTCAACGTGTGAAAATTGCTGTGGGGGCAGCTAGAGGACTTGAGTATTTGCATGAAAAGGCCGAGTCCCACATTATCCATCGTGATATTAAGTCCAGCAATGTACTTCTCTTTGATAATGATGTTGCTAAAATTGCTGACTTTGATTTATCCAATCAAGCTCCTGATATGGCAGCACGTCTTCATTCTACCCGTGTTCTTGGAACTTTTGGTTATCATGCTCCTGAGTAAGATGTCTATCTCTGATCAATTGCGAAACTAAAATTCAAATGGATTTTACTATTATTACATTTTCTATTATGAATTCTATAGTTTTGGCTTCATTGGATTTTGACTTAAAATACCATTCTGCCTACTTCACTGTTCACATACAAGAAAATAATTACATTTCCATCTCCAACCGTATTTCTTGTGAGTTTTGACGTAATCTCATGTTTAGTGAACCAAGAAACTTGCAAGTACCTGATCAATTGTGCCAATGTCTAATATTTCACCTTTAGTATTTCCAGCTGCCACACCTGGAAGAAAATTTGTAAACCCAAATTATTATTAATCAGATGACTGTATGTAGGTGAATTTTCTGATAATTGATAATTCCTTGGTAGTTCTTTCACCTGGGATAGAACTGCAGTCTCTTTCCCTTTCGTATTCTTTCATTTTTCTCAATGAAAGCTTGGTTTCTCGTTAAAAAAGAAAGAATTAATGCATTCCTCTTGAGCCAGAATAGTTGTTTACTTTGTTTCTGTATATTGCAGATATGCTATGACTGGTCAGTTGAATGCCAAGAGTGATGTATACAGCTTCGGTGTAGTCTTGCTTGAACTTCTGACCGGGAGAAAACCTGTAGATCCTACGCTACCACGAGGACAACAAAGTCTAGTTACTTGGGTGATTTTCTTTTGTCTTTCTTCCCTTTGCCTTTCACTTTTTTCCCTTCTTTTTCCCTCTCTCTTGCCTCTTCAAAATTGGATTATATATTATCTCCCCTGCATGCAAGTTAACTTACAGGGTTATCTTAATGTATTAGGCTGCACCAAAACTGAGTGAAGATAAAGTTAGGCAGTGTGTCGATGGAAGGCTTGGCGGAGACTACCCCCCAAAGGCAGTAGCAAAGGTAATTTGAATAATGCTAAGCAGTTCTCCATTTTTTTTGGACTTGGGAGAGGCACTAGGATCTCCTTTTATCTCGAGGGAGTTTTGTGTTAGGAACCATGACTCTCCACAATGGTATGATATTATCCACTCTGAACATAAGCTCTCATGGCTTTGCTTTTGGTTTTCCCAAAAGGCCTCGTACTAATAGAAATGTATTCCTTACTTATAAATCCATAATCAACCCCTTAATTAGTCGATGTGGGCCTCCTCTCCCATCAATTCTCAAAGTCGATACTCATGATGCATTATGAAGAAATCATTTAAAAGCTTCTTTAAGAAGCTAAATTTTCTATCAATCTTATAGTACAGCTCATGAGCTACCATATGGTTGCCAATTTTTTGAATCTAATTTTCCTTGAGAAAGGAAGACCAGGAACTTTTTTTTTTCTTTCTGAGAATCTTAGAGAGAGAGAGAGAGAGAGAGAGAGAGGTGGGAATGAGGAAGTTGGCGAAGAACATGTTTATTTATATTGCCATATTTAATAAGTTGTTACAAGAACCTAATAGCTAATGCAACGTTATTGCAGTTGGCAGCTGTTGCAGCCTTGTGTGTGCAATATGAGGCAGATTTCCGGCCAAACATGAGCATTGTTGTCAAAGCCCTTCAGCATCTATTAAATGCCCGACCTGTGCCTTCTTCTGGTGATGCATCAAACTCGTGAGTTCTATTCATCATCAATTTGCACACAATCATATAAGAAGGAAATTGCATCTGAAGGAAGCTAATTAGTGAATTGTTTGGATATTTTTTTCATCACATTTATATTAATTCACGTGTTATAAGTCATCTATATTGTGGAATCCAATATTATTTAGTTGTAAGAATTGCTAGAGTGGGATAATGTATATAGAAACTATTGGCTCTTCTGCTCTGACTTTCCATATGGTGAATCTGCAACTTCAGAATTTGTTTAAACGGACTAATCAGCAACTTTAAGCTAAGTTTTATTCTTTTGGTTTGGATTGGATTGGATTGGAGTCCTTCCTTTAGTTGGGTCTTTTTTGTAGGCCCTTTTTATATCTTCATCTTTCTCAACAAAAGTTTCTTTTCTTGTGAGTAGAACCCTTTAGTTGGGCCTTTTTTAGGCCATTACATATCCCTTCCTGTACGAAAATATGTTTTGGCATAGGGAATAATAGAATGGTCAATTTTAGCGGATATTGTTCTCTTTCGATTTCTTTTTATTTGTTAGTAGGATGTAGACATGTTTTAAAAATTTTGAGAGGGAAGCCCGAAAGGAAAAGCTCAAAAAGAATAATATCGGCTAGTGGTTCACTTGGCCGGTTACAAAATTCTTGCCAAAACTATGATCTAAGTTGAGAAATGGGACCATTTTTTCTTATTTATATTTCTTTTATTGATTTTAGGCTAAATTAATAAAATACCCTTGAATTTTTGCACAAATACCCTTGAATTTTTGCATCGTGTTTCAATTATATCCCTAAACTTTCAAATTTTTTAATAATATCCTGAACTTTCGTATTTTTCAATAATATATTAATACTTATAAAAAAAATTCAAAAATTCATATTTTTTAATAATACTTTTATACTTAAAAAAAAATTCAAAAATACCTGATAGTTTTGGATGGAATTTGTTTCTACTTTAACTTTCAAATGGTTACAATTCTCACAAGTCATATCAGCATTCTTCAAATTTTTTTTAAAAAATTTCAAAAATATCTTTAAATTTTTTTTATTATTAGGTACTACGTTTTAAAAATACTCACAAACTTTCAAAAGTAATATTAAAAGGTTTAGAGATAATTTAGTCTATATATTGACGATAATAATTTTTTAAAATTATTTTAATAACGATAAGGGGTGTTAATGATGCTTTTAAAATTTTATGGGTATTTTTTTAATATATTTTTTTATTTAATTTTATTTTGATTCTCTCATTTTCCTTCGTGGTGCTTCGATGATAAAAGTCACATGAGAATGTCGACAGTTTAATTCTTGTAGAGCCTAGAATACTAGGAACAATGCCGGTACTCGAGCTCAAGAATGATACATGAGCAAAAGCGTGCACCGATTTTACATGAAAAGGATTTAAAAACGGTATAAATATGGACCAACAAAGTTAAAAGTATCAAAATAATTGATAGGTTTTTTTTTTCATACAACAACAAGATAAAGTAGAAGCTCAATAAAACAATCTTAGCTCTCGTACTTCTTGGTTAAATATGCTTAGTCCAGAACGTTCTCGTATTAGGTGACTTAAAATATATGAATGACGATAAAGTAGTAGATTGAAAAGACGTGTTCATTTATGAGAAAAACCTTCAATATCGTACACAACTCAATTCAAACAGTTGGAGATATTGTATAGTGTCAAGGCTACCGAGTGTTAGATTTAAATTTCAAACCCCTATAATAGACCCTCGAGGCTCGAACATTGAATATGGCCTTGCACGAGCCGAATTAACCTCATTTTCATTTGCCCCTTTTGTTTTTAACCGGACTTTTTGAGGTCTCCATCTATATCACATGGTTTATAAACACAAAGAACAATAACGCTACATGTGATCACAAGAAAGTCATAAAAATATTGTATTACGTATCACGTCTTGCAAATAGTTCTCTCGTGCAGCACGAAAACAACAATTAAAATAACTTATTAATTCAAAACAACGAATAAAGGATTAAAAAACATTAAAAATATTGTATTTTGAAAAAAAAATAATGGAATGAAATTAGTCAATAAAATTATCGATTTTCTAATTACTTTGTTGAATCGATATAGTCAACATTTAAGATCTCGACGATCTTATTTATTTATTTATTTATTTCATAAAGTTGTAAAGTGAAAACATAATTTCAACCACTCCCATTTCTAAAAAAGTGATTAAATGAAATTCTCTAAAATCTTAACAAAAAAAAAAAAAAACCATAAATTTATTTATTTATTTATTTTGCTTTTACCTTTATTTTTTTCTCTTGTCTTTTTATATAATTTTCTCTCTCCTCGCTGTCAATTGTATTTTTTTTAATTGAAAATAAAAAAAAAAACAATAATTAAATCTATTGATATTGATAAATAATTAAGAGAAACCAAAATTTCCGAGTTGTTTTCATGAATCGTATAATCTTAATCGAGCTCAATTTGATCCTTTTTTGACCTAACGTGAAAAGAATCGACAAAACCCTAAATGGGTCATATAGCCCCCGAACGTAAACTCTTCCTATTTTGTAAAATCTTAACTAATTTTAGCATCAGAATAATATATTTTTATCATTGTGGTCGTATAAAAATTACCTACATTACTATATGAATATAATAAAATATAAACGTGTTTTTATAAAATAAAATTGTTATTGATATTATTGGGTAGGATCGTGCGTCTTTCCTGATAAACTAATCAATGAATTTTATTCTAATTTTAAAAAATAAATTTAATTGATTAAATTTATAATTTAATCATAAATATAAATTAGTGTAGACGGTATGTTGTCTTATTATATAGATCATGTCTCGTCAAGGTAGACGAGAAGGAACCCGATATCGTAAAAGCCATAACCAACTAGGCACGAGACAGCTACATAAATTAATTTATATAATTTCACTATAATTAAGGGACTAAATCATTGAGTTGTTTTATTATTATTATTATTATTAGTATTATTGGAGCTGTCAGTTGCTTGTAGCATTGGAATTTTCTTGTTTTCGAATATTATATATTTTATTTTTGGATTTTTATTTTTATTCGAAATCTTTTTTATAAATATATAATTGGGATTGGAATCTTAATTTGTTACCTAATTATTCGCTTTTTAAATTTTCTTTAAATTATTTTATTTTAGAAATATAAATTATTTGGATTATTTGGAATTTTGGGAATTGAGAATTTTTAATCAAAGTAAAAGATTCTCATCATACCTCCTTTTTCCTTGAGAAATTAAATTATATATTTTATCAATTAATTTTATATTTATATTTTAAATTATATCGAATACACAGTCGAACACATTATTGTAGTATCACTTGTCACAATCACACTTTTTGATGGCAGCAAACTTGCGAGTGTGCAGCACTCACCCACTAACAACAAGTGAGTTAAGTCAATTTGTTTTTGCTGCGTCAGACAATGTATGTTTAAGAAGAAAGTTTTAGAAAACAGGGGCAGAGAGTTTTGAAAGTAAGATTTAAGAGATTAAAATTGGTGTTACGTATGATGCAAGCAAAAAAGGCAATAGCAACGACTTACCCAAAAACCCGACTACCTAATACAAATTATAAACGGGTTGGTTAAAAAAATAAAAAAAAAATCGATTCACGTTTGAAATTTTTGAAATTTTAATTCAGTTTGGAGATTGTTATTTTTTTGTCCCGTCAACTTAACCAACTAGAAAGTAGTTACTGTGACTTGTAAACGTTTGATATTAAAATTTTATGATATTTTAGTTATTAATATTATAGTTTTTTAAATAGTAATTAAAAAAAGAACAACTCGATCACCCAATCTAACAAAAAAAAATATAGAACAAACGGTTCAGTTGTGAATTCTATTTGAGTTGTTCGAATCACCAGGTACGTAACGCTATAGATGTTACTCTAAATCACAAAAGCTAACACATATACTCTAAACTTAAGAGGTAATTTCACGATTGAGTAGCGACGATGTTCGTGATGAATAGAGCCCAACAAGCAACTAGATGCAAAGCAAATACATACCTTCTCGAGTCAAACCGATAGATTCTCCCAACTTAGCACGACTAAATAAAAGATATATCTAACAATCTTATCTTAAAATTGATTTATATCAGACTAATATCATCTTTAATATAAAGTTAGCCCGACTAAATAAAAAACATATCTAACATCCATATCTTAAAACCCGCCAACTTTAATACAAAGTTTGACCTCGAGTTAATAAAAAAAAAAAAATCTACAAATAATATTTTTTTAGAGAATATGTAACATACTCGTCTACTTTTTAAAAAAATTATTTTTATTGCTTAATTTTAACATTTTCTAAAATACCCATATTTAAATTCACGATTCTTAACAAAGAAGTAATTATAACGTCTGTCACATGATAAATTATTTTATCTAGCGGTAAGAAATATTAATGGTATTTTCTTCTTAATTATATTAATATATATATTTATTTAGAGAATACTTAACATACTCGTCTTACTTTTTTTTTTTTAATTATTTTTATTACTTAATTTTAATATCATTTAAAATATCCATATTTTAATTTACGAATCTTAAGAAAGAAGTAATTATAACGTTTATCTTATGATAAAATATTTTATCTCGTAGGAAATATTAATGGTATTTTCTTATTAATTATACGAAATATATATATATATATATATATATATATATATATATATATATATTTTGAAAAAAATATAAAAATATATTTATAAGAGAAATTTTGCTGTCATATTTACAATAATAATAATAATAATAATAATAATAAATATAACGACCACGTTTGTTATACATTATAATTTATGTTTCAATTATCTAAAATAATATTTTTTTAATTAAAAAATTGGATTAAAATATTTAGAGTGAGCTGTCAAGGGTTGAGAAAAAAAAATCAATAATTAAAACAATTATATTTTATTTAATATTTAAATATTTTCTCCCGCTTTCATTTGCTTTGCTGCCAAAAACAGTTAAACTTCCGGCCACTTGGCTGCTCTTCTCATTCTGCTTCAATCCCTCTCATATCTATAAATTTTTCACTCGCATTTTTGTTTCTGGTTTATGTGTTCTTGCAATCCTCCTCTGCAGATTTCTTTTTCTTCCTAGCTCGGTGTTTTCCAGGTCAGTTTGTTTCTCATTTTCTTCTCTTGAATCGTGTTTGGTTGCTGAGAAATTCGAGTTTCTCTTGCTAGGGTTGTTTGTTCTTGTGATTTTTCGCTTTTCTACTGTTTTTTTTTACGATTGATGTTTGTTTATCAGTTTTTAGTGGCTTGTTCTCTCTGTTTTGCTTCTGGAGGTGAAAGAAATTGAAAGGGGAAGGTTGCGGGTTTAAGCGTTGGGTTTGATTTTCCGGGAAAATGCTTGAGATTCTGTTAGAGAAAGTTCTGGATAGTTAACTTTGTGCATTACACACTGAAATTTTCCTTTTCCCTAATCTGTTTCTCATTGATTGTTGTGCTGCTTTTGTTTTGTCCTTATTGTCATTATTGAAATGAATTGTCGTTTTCCCCAACTTTCCATGTGGTTGGTATGTAATGACTTCTACTTCAACAACACATGGGGTACTAATTGTTTCTATCGTTTTCATCAAATGATAGAACCAGTTTTGATGTTTTTCCCTATTTGTGTTTGATGATAGAACCTGTTCAAGATCCTTTTATCCTCAAACTTTGCCGATATATCTTTATGATCACTTAAATGTTCACTGGCTTGATTCCACTGTTCTTCCTTGATTTGTCTTTTTCAAACTTTAGACACTTTCATGACGATTAATTTGTTTGATCTATCAAAAATTCATCATGCATAGCCAAGAACAACTTTCTGTGCAGGGTAATTTCAATCCTAGTTGAACAATTCTAAGGATTTGTATTTACAGTTTATTGTCATCAAGAATAACTTGTAATTCTGGAAAATGATGAAGATTTAGTGAAATCTAATTCGCTTAGCCTGTGATTATCAGGAGATAAGCATCTTGATTCGCCATAATGTCAGACGTTGAGGCCTCCAAGCCACAAAAGAGGAAGAAAGGCTGGGTGGACTTTTTAGTTAATTTTCGATGGATTCTGGTTATTTTTGTAGTTCTTCCGTTCTCATTCAGTTTCTACTTCATGCAATATCTTGGAGACAAACGATCTGAGAGGAAGTCCTACAAGCAGCGCCAGATTGAACATGAAGAAAATGTCCAGAAAGTTGTTGAACGCCTCAAAGAAAGAAACCCTTCGAAGGATGGTCTTGTCTGCACTGCCCGCAAGCCTTGGCTTGCTGTGGGAATGCGAAATGTTGACTACAAACGAGCACGACACTTCGAGGTTGATCTATCGGCTTTCCGCAACATACTTGACATTGACAAGGAGAGAATGATTGCAAAAGTTGAGCCCCATGTGAACATGGGACAGATATCTAGAGCCACAATTCCCATGAACCTTTCACTCGCAGTCGTTGCCGAGCTCGATGATCTTACTGTTGGTGGCCTCATCAATGGCTATGGCATTGAAGGAAGCTCCCATATCTATGGTCTTTTCTCTGATACCGTTGTGGCCTATGAAATCGTTCTTGCAGACGGCAGGGTCGTAAGGGCGACCAAGGATAATGAATACTCCGATCTTTTCTATGCCATCCCATGGTCTCAAGGGACTCTTGGTTTTCTTGTGTCTGCTGAGATCAAACTTATACATATAAAGGAATATATGAAGCTTACATACACACCTGCCAAAGGCAACCTACAGGAGATTGGGCAGGCATATATGGACTCATTTACACCAAGAGATTTAGATCAAGATAACCCTGAGAAGGTCCCTGACTTCGTAGAAACCATGATTTATTCTCCTACCGAAGCCGTGTGCATGACAGGAAGATATGCATCCAGCGAAGAGGCCAAGAAGAAAGGGAATGTGATCAACAGCATAGGTTGGTGGTTCAAGCCATGGTTTTACCAGCATGCACAAAAAGCACTGAAAAAGGGGGAGTTTGTGGAGTATATCCCAACAAGAGAGTACTATCACAGACACACCAGATCTTTGTACTGGGAGGGAAAGCTTATTCTTCCATTTGCCGATCAATGGTGGTTCCGGTTTCTCATGGGATGGATGATGCCTCCCAAGGTCTCTCTGCTAAAGGCTACTCAAGGTGAGGCTATCAGAAACTATTACCATGAGATGCATATTGTTCAGGACATGCTCGTTCCTCTTCGACGAATCGGGGATACGTTGGAGTGGATCCACAAAGAGATGGAGGTAATTTCTTCTTGTGCTTTGATGAACATCTTACCATTCAAAATAGCAATTCAAATGAGAATTTGGGGTGTTTGGAGTGTTGAATTGGTAACAATTATACTACAGAACCAGGAGTCTCCCCTCATCTGTTGTTGTTTGCTTTGTCATTGCAGGTGTACCCATTATGGCTCTGCCCACACAGATTGTTCAAGCCCCCAATGAAAACAATGGTGACTCCTGAACCAGGATTTGAGCTGCAACTCAAGCAGGGTGACACCCCCTACGCTCAGATGTACACAGACATCGGAGTCTACTATGCTCCCGGAGCCGTCCTAAGAGGAGAAGTTTACGACGGCGTTAAGGCAGTCAAGAACATGGGGAACTGGCTCATTGAAATCCATGGCTTCCAACCACAGCACTCAGTGACCGAGATGACCGAGGAAGAGTTTTGGAAAATGTTTGAGCCAGAACTTTATGAGGTGTGCCGAAAGAAGTATGGAGCCATAGGGACGTTCATGCATGTGTATTACAAATGTAAGAAGGGGAGGAAGACCGAGAAGGAAGTCCAGGAAGCTGAACGAGCTCAACCTGAAACTGCTTACGCTGATATAGAGCAGCCAGCCGGGTGATGCTTTTGCATTCATAAACAAAGTAGCATTCTTGTTTCTCCCCCTCCCACTTTGTGTTATGGTCTCTGCATTTATTCTTCTTCTTTGAAATTTCACTGTTGCCTTCCCACTCTTTGTATCTTTCACTTCGTCTCTTACACTCTCATAAACACTTTCACGTGTATGTTAATTATGGTATTTGTATTGTATATTGTAATGCCAAAACTGAAAAAATCTCAATTTCAGTTTATTATTATTATTTTGCAAGATCCCACGTCGGCCGAGAAGTAAAACGAAACATTGTTTATAAGGGTGTGAAAACCAGATCGCAGTATTCTTTATAAGGGTGTAGAAACCTCTCCCTAGCAGACTCGTTTCAAAACCTTGCGGGGAAGCTCGGAAGGGAGAGCCCAAAGAAATTTCTGTTAGCAGTGGATTTGAGTTACTACAAATGGTATCAGAGCCAAATACGAGACGATATGCCAGCGAGGAGGCTAAGCCCCAAAAAGGGGTGGACATGAGATAGTGTCTCAGCAAGGATGCTCAGCTTCGAATGGGTGGACACAAGACGGTGTGCCAGCAAAAAAGCTGAGCCCTGAAAAGAGGTGGACATGAGACGGTGTGCCAGTAAGGATACTGGATCCCAAAGGAGGGTGTCATAAGACGGTGTGCTATCAAAGATGCTAAGGCCTGAAGAGCGGTGGACACGAGACGGTTGCCTACAAGGACACTAGACCGATTGAGGAGGAGAACGAACCATTATTTATAAGAGTATTAAAACCAAGTGCAAAGAGAATAAAATCTACTAGCAGTGAGCTTGGGCTCGAGCTCTTACATAGATATTTAAACTAAGCTCAATTTGACAACCGCTCACTCATTACACGGGACATTTCCTCTTCGAGAATGGAGTATTTAGTTTTAAAAATTAAAAAAATTCAAGAATCCAAGACAGATCAACTATGTTCAAATAGCCATTTCTATCTCTCTCTTGTACTAGCTACATTTTTTTTTTTACCATGGTTAAAAAAAAAAAAAAAACCAAACCGACCTATTTTTGGGTTGGTTCATAAAAGCCGATTCCAAATTGACCCAACCCAATCCGACGGTTCTATTCTACTTCGGCCCATTATTTATACGCCCAGAAAGAAGCGAAGTTTTCTCCCCAACCATATTTATAGTTGTTTCTCTCACAATTTTCTCTCTCTCGAAGTTCTTCTCGCCCACCGCCAGCCCGCCATTTTTCTTCTTCTTCTTTTCCGGTATAATCTCATTTCTCTTATCATTATTTTAATTTCAGCTTCTTCAATGGCTACTAGTTTGTTTCAATTCTTCAGATTGGAGAAACCCTCTGTGTTATTTGTTCGTACTTTGTTCAATTTTTCAGTTTTCTATATTGATCATTTTTTGTGATTATTGGGTAATTGTGTTCGTTTGATTTAGGTAGATAGTTTGTTTTTGGATGTTCTTTTTTTTTTTTTTTTTTCTCTCACCCTTTAGTCCTGCTTTTATCCAATGGGTAGCTTGGATGGAAAATTTAGCGAAGAATTTCATTTCTGTAATCAAAGAAGGGACCATGCACTCTAAATAAGAGGACTGCAAAACTTTCTCTCGAATTATTTTGTTTCTGGTAAGTCATATTCTCTGAATGAAGATCCTTGGATGCTGGCCGCAAGTTCTTGGGTTCTCTTTTTAATGGACTGTTGTCTTGTATAAGGGGCAAAAGGCCTCTGAAGCAAGTAGCCTACACCCTGTAAAATAAATAAGAGCGAAATCATATTAAAGGAAAGATGATTGAACATTTTCTGGGTCTTGCAACATTAACACAGAGAGGGCACTAATTGGTCTCCTCTTCCACGACAAATTATAAGTTCTCTGAGTTTTTCAAATTTAAAATATTCATTGTAAAGCAATTTAAAATATTCTAGACTGAAGTTTGTTTTTTCTGATTACTCTGTTTTCTTGCAAAGTGAAGAGATAGATTCACTTCTTAGTTTGATCCACTTCTTTTTTTGTGTGAATTGAGGTATATAAGTTTGTTATTGTAGGACACCACTATGAAGAGTGTGCTGGCAATTACGGATGACACTGTTCTGGCTACCAGCGTCATTGTCAACGCTTTACAAGAGCTTGGGAATGGAGATGTTGCAAACTATCATTCACAAATAATTACTCAAGCCTTTTCTCTGAGTAAGTTTTTTATACCCATGGGCTGTTCTAGTCCGCACTTCAATTCTGTGCGGTTTACATTTCATTTTGAAAGCTGAAGGTGTAAATTTTTGTGATAGTGATGACATAAACTTATCAACACTGACTTATTTCACTGTTTTAATTAAATTTTTTGGTTCCCTAAAAGAAACAGCCTTACTGATAGTTGATTAGTGACTTGAAGGATAAAAAAGAGAATGTTATCAGCTCCTTTATATATTCTTTTACTAAATAAAATCGAAGATATATGTACACACACTCTACATGTTTGTCAAACTCTTCCTATATGATAATCCTGAAAGCCATAGCTTTCAGGGTAGCTTACTATAAATGCCAGTGGTCAATGTCCTAGGCGAGATTTTTTGGCTCTGGTGTAGCAAAACTTGCATGCAGATCCTGAAAGCCATAGCTTTCAGGGTAGCTTACTATAAATGCCAGTGGTCAATGTCCTAGTCGAGATTTTTTGGCTCTGGTGTACCAAAACTTGCATGCAGATCAATGGATTACCAACTGAAACTGATGGTTTACTCTTACTTTCCTGTCGTCAAATATCCTCCTTTTTTCTATTTGCTTTATTGGTCTCATGCTCATGAGGAAGTGATTAATTCATATGATATAATTTAGATGTGTTATTGATAATTGTTGATTTATGATAGATAATCTGCCACTTGGAGCTTCATCCATGGATGTTGTCATTTCTATCTGTAGATCTGCTTTTCCGAGTGATCAGATGCTTGAAGAAATCTCTAGAGTTCTGAAGCCTGGTGGGGTAATCTTTATTCACAAGACTTCACAGTCTGTTGCAGTTGAGAAAGATGAGGTAATCACTTAGCTAGTAATTTTTGGCATTTAAAATATTAATTACAGAGATAGATATATAACTAGTGTTTCTTTCGCAGTCCCCTGCCCTGGTGAGAAGATTACTTATAGCAGGCTTTCTAGAGGCTCAAGTAACCGAAAAGAAAATAGTTTCTCCATCTGAAGTAGAGAATCTTGTGGTAAGATGTAGTTATCATTAAGTTTAGAGTCTCTAGACAGTCCTCCCACCCCGCCAACAGACAAAACACCACGCTACGTTTCAGTAATGTTGAAAAGTGGCTAGTCATTTATGACCAAACTACTTCGTTTCCTGTTGCTTCCGTCGACTTCTCGTTGTAAAGATGATTGAAAAACATCTTATCTCCGATGTCTCTTTAACTTCGGTTTTACCAAATTTGATGTTTGATTCTGTTCTTACATCTTGTAAGTAACGTTTTTGTATACATTGTGAAACTTTTTTTTCTTTCACGTAGATAAAAGCAAAGAAGCCTTCTTGGGCGATTGGCTCCTCTTTTTCCATTAAGAAGCCAGCAAAAATTTTACCAAAGATTCAGATTGATGACGATTCTGATTTGATTGATGAAGATAGTTTATTGACTGAGGAGGATTTGAAGAAACCCCAGCTACCATTAGGTAAAAAATGAACTGATTGATATATACTATATTTGAATTTTATTTGATGGAATTTTCCGTATTAATGGCCTTTTACTATTTGATATGTTGTTCAGTTGGTGACTGTGAAGTTGGCAGTACAAGAAAAGCTTGCAAGAACTGCAGTTGTGGTAGGGCTGAAGCAGAGGAAAAAGTAGAAAAGCTAGGATTGACTTCAGATTTGTTGGAAAATCCTCAATCTGCATGTGGCAACGTAAGTGAAATTAGTGATTGATTATTCTTATGTTTTTATTTTAAGCGCGATTACTCGTTTTGGCCATCAACGTTTTACCCTCCGTTCAGTCTCTTTGCTTTCATTTTCAACATCTTATCTTGTCTGCATCTTAACGTTAATACCACTTGCAGTGTGGACTGGGAGATGCTTTTCGGTGCAGTACATGCCCCTACAAGGGTCTTCCAGCATTTAAACTTGGGGAGAAGGTAGGGAAAACCTTTATATAACTTTCTTCACTTTTCAATGGAGTTTTGAGAATATTACTTCACGGGGTGGGAGGATTAGAAATTCCGGCCTCGCGGAGAAAGTAGCGATAGCCAAAGACTAAGTCGTTTTTCTTTTTCATGCAGGTGTCTTTAACCGGGAACTTCCTTGCTGCCGATATATGACCTTTTTCTTGTTTTTTTTTGGGGTGGAGATAGAGTTAAAAAATATATGACTATTTTAGAGGTTGGTCGTTTTGGTACCGATCACCATTGTATCCCGTACGATTAGATACACATGCTGCTATGCTATTATTCCTGTGTTGTTGAAACATCTGGTGAATGGCGACCAGTTTTCCATTATGATATTGGCTTAGAAACCTTGATAAACAGTTTACTATTGCCAATGGACAATCTTGTCTTAAAAGCCTTGATGAACAACCATGAATATGCTCTAGACATTATTAGATTTTGTAAGCTTCATGATGAACAACCAGCTAGATTTCTGTACTAGTTACAACTGAAGGTTGCATCACTTCCATTCCACAGTGGGTTGAGATTCTTCTAGCATTATTATGATATTATGGTCATTGATCATTAGGTCTGTTCTATTTCATTCAACTCTCTTTACCTTTGTTCGGGCAGGTTCCATCTTTTATGTATTGATTAAAGGTGGATGAAGAGGCGGCCGCAATGGAGTGGAAGTCAAGTTGTAGGAGCACAAAACTAACCCATATCGCTCATACTTTTGAATCTAAAAGTAATGAAATGAAACTATCATTCAACTAAGCAATCATATTTTAGTACAAATTGACATAAAAGCAATGTTATTTTAATACAAATTGATATAAAAGCAATTAAACAATGATATTTTAATGCAAATTGACATAAAAGAATAGGTAACCATTTAGATGAACGCAAAAAGAGTGGATAGACATTTAGACGAACGCAAAAATAGTAGGTAGATATTTATAAAGATAGCTTTAACTCACTTTCATAGAGTCAATTTAGTGAAGAGATCTCGAGTTAATGGTACAACAGACAACAATATTGTCGGTACGAACCGATTTTTGAGGTCAAATAGTCTCAAATTTACTATACGATATATCCACCTCGTTAGGCACATTTTTTAGGAGGGATTTGATCGATAGACCGACCAAAAGGTCGTTTAGAATATAAAAAGTTGAAGTTGACAAAAAAAAAAAAAAAAAAAAAAAAAAAAAAAAAAAAAAAAAAAAAAAAAAAAAAAAAAAAAA